AAAACACTGCGGTGGGAACTGAATCCAGGTCTGTGTTAGCGTAGCATGATTAAATAGTCCACAGAGCAGAGTTGGCAACACCATCGAACACGTGGTAGGAAGGTGTTGTGAGGTTTCTGTTCCTGTTGGACTTTCCCTTTTAAAACTGACTGAATGACAACACCACAACACACACACACAAACACCACACACGACACACACACTGGGTGAAAACATGTTGTCTTTTTACCTCCCATAACATACTTTTCCAGAGAGGTGGACGTATAAGCTGATGGTGGATTCCAGATTACCCATACACATGACAACACCTGCTGGCCCCAGGCTGTTGTGTGGTCTGTGTGTTTGTGTGTGTGTTGTGGTTGTTGTGGTGTGTGTGTGTGTGTGTTGTGTGTAGTGTGTGTGTGTGTGCGTGCAGACATACATTGGTCAGTAAAAATGAAAGAATGGCACAGTGTTTGTCTAATAGGAGTAATGTATTGTGTGTGTTGAAATTGTACATGCACAAGTGTCTGATGTTGTAGGGGGTTTATCCATGGCCTCCCTCCTCCCTCCGCCTTCCACCTTTACTGTCAACACTAAACTAAAGTAAGCCTTGAGTCAGGGAGGGAGGAACTTGGAAACAATTGATAAGGAGGACAAAGGTGGAGGGAGGGAAGGAAGGAAGGAAGAATGAACACTAACTGAAGGCAAAGACGAGAGTACAACAACTGGATCAGAGACATGAGAGGGGCAGTAATTTAATTTGTTGTAAGTCAAAGGGTGGACAGATTAGCACCCTTACAATATAATGCAATTTAATAAATCCAGTAAATGCTGTCTTTGTGTTGCTATTGATTCAACCCCAGGGTACATTTTAGGGGCTGTAGTGTAATACATGTAATACATTATATTGACTACAAAGGTGCCCTGTGAAGTGTTCTTATAAACTGTTTACTTTCAGTCTTTCTCACCAAAATACATTGTGTATCCTTCTGATCTTATGAGTGTGTGTGTGTGTTGAGTGTGTTTCCTTTCTTTCATAGGATGGGAACATTGGCAAAGCTGACCTCTTAAATATTTTCAATTCTGTATTCTTCTTTTTCACTTCTTCTCCACATTACTGCCCTTTAAGATAACTTTCTTGTGGCTGCAGTATGTTTTAAGTTCAGTACATAAGCCTTTCTCAAGTATCAGTCAGCACACATTAATGACACATTAATGTGAAACGCAGTGAGTTTTTTTGTTACCTTTGAGTGTGTAATCACCTAATCTGAAACAGTGACCATTAACAGAACAAAATATGGTGTAGTCTGAACCTGGTGTTAGTCAGAGCAGATCTAGGTTCATCGTCTTGCTCATGAGCACTACAACACAGAATAGGAATTTTTCAGTTGATGTACAAATGCTCTTCTCAAACCTTAAGTCTGCCATCACTAACTTCACCAACTGCATGATTTTCAGTTATGTTTATGGTCATAAATCAAGATCCAGTATTTATTGTTTCTTTATACTGTAAGAATGTGTTATTATTATGAAATCACATATCTAAGCAGATGACAGTAATGGTGAGGGAGAGAGAGACAAACGCACAAAGCAGCTTAGTTCTGACACAAATCAATACGGCGCTGTCAGCAGAAGTTCTCTTGAAAGAGACTAATTTGTCCCTAATGCCACGGTGTCAGTAGCCCTCAGCCCAGCTCTCGTCTAAGATGTCACCTCACTGAGTTATCTCACCTCACACATTTCACCGGGAGAGCAACACATCTCAGTCTGGACACTGAAACAGAGAGAGAGAGAGAAGACTGTGATAGAATCGTGATGGAATGTGAAGCTTATCTTTAGTTGGCAGGAGAGTGACGGAGAGTATGACACACACGCGCACACACACACACACACACACACTCAGCTCTCTGCAGGAGTCGCTCTGCTCATCACTAAAGTCTCAAGTTTTCCAAGCCCTAAAGCAGAGTTATGACATTGATTTATGTGAGTTACATGGCACTTTCACTGTCTTACACTCTCAGTTGGCTTGATAGCTGCTCCATAAGGTGTGATGTATGCAAACATACACAATATGCCCCACATGTACCTACATATACAGTATATATGCACAATTTTTAAGGCACAGCGGAAAAGAAGTGCACAAGTAATTTGATCGTAGTTGGTTGTCTGTTCAAGGCCAGCCAACTTACCTTCGATTGTTCCAAAAATTTTGAGGGCCCACAGTGGAATCGCCAGCTTAACCCTGTGTTAATATCCACATTATCCACAAACATAAAGCTTGTCTACAGCTCTGACATCTTTAAGCTTCATTAATCAATATGTTCATAATAATAATGGATCAAATAATAATAATAATAATAATAATAATAATAATAATAATAATGTCACGCGAAAGAAGTCACTTACACTGACAAATCCACAGAGAATAATCACCTGACTCTGCAGTTCCCTTCCGCTCTTCAGAGCATTTTTCAGCTCACTGTTTTTTTTGTTTTATGACCCACAACTTTGTATCCTCGCTCTCATAAGGTAATCTTCAGTTGCAGTAGGCAGCCTTTTTCAACAAAAGAGTTTTAATAAACCAACTGTTCACTACCTGCCCAGCACCAAACAGCAGACAACTGGCTAAAGAGCCAGCTAGTAGCATTGTTGGTGGAGGCTGAAATGGAGCTAAAAGAGAGTGAATATTAGACTTTGTTCGGTGATCAGAAACATCCAGTATAAGTACTAATGTTGTTGTTGTTGTTGTTGTCTGGATGTGTAAATACAAGATAAGTTTGCCATAGCAACTTTATAAAGTGATCATATGTCAGTGCTGTGTTTAGAGCATGTTTTGTTTTGGCCAAAACCTCAATCAGTTCAACTTTAAATGCAATAACTACAGACAATATCCAAAAACAATCAACTGGAAAACCCACACTGCACTGGGGGAAATGTAATCATAAGATAAAGTGATGTAAGTGTTTAGTACAGACAGCAATATTCAACACTGCTGGCAGTGTAAAGGTTGTGACTCAAGGTGAAAACATATTTTTTAAACTGTGCAGTTTATTTTAACAGTTTTTTGGTGTGATGTGGCACAACTAGGCTTTTTTCAGAATTTTAATTTTGTCCCATTGCTATGGCAACTCATAAATTTAACTGATGAACTTTGATCTTGGCAGCCTGCAGTGCTGGATAACCTCCTTACCTCCATGAAGTTTGTCCTCCATGGCATGGGTGTCCTCCGGATCAACCTGGCTAACAACAGGAACAAGGTAGTCAACCTGTCTGTCTGTCTGTCTGTCTGTCTGTCTGTCTGTCTGGCATTTCATACCTTTTTCTTTTTCTTGTGATATTATCTGTCCGACTGTCCGTTCTTGTGAAAGCGATATCTCAGAAACACTTAGAGGGAATTTTAATTTCTTCACATTTTGCACAAGCGTCCACTTGGACTCAAGGACGAACTGATTTTGTCAAAGGTCAAGCTCACTGTGACCTCACAAAAACCATCGTTGCCCATAACTCAAGAAGTATTTTCTAAATTGGTCGCACAATGATTCGACGACACTTTTGACTCAAAGGTCACCTTGACGTGAAAACAACCTTGACAAACACGTTTGTGGTCATAACTCAAGAATTGATTCGGTAGCTATTGGTTAACATTTCATACAGATGTTTAATGGGATACAGCAATGAAAGGTCAGCATAACTGTGAAATAATGTCAACACCCTAACTCAGAAACAGAAGGGACCATAATTCATAGTTGGTCAGACTCTGAATTGGTGACACTTTTGACTCAAAGGTCATTGTGTGGTTTTAGCCAATAAAAACTAAACAATAATTAGCACAATACAGGCTTTCATGTTTCTATCTCATCCATTCTGCTTTAAACTTCTTGCCTCAATCTGAGTTACAATCATCATCCCAATCATGTGACTGAACACAATGTAGTGCAGTGGGCCTAGCTAATGGGAATCGTGTGAGTGAGTTTCATCTACAGCTCATAGAGAGACATCACCAGGAGAAAACAAAAGAACCTCATTTTGTATAAACTATACAAGAATCCATCTTTACTAATCAAGTACATGTATAATGTATATTCACTGGAATCATACATATGTATCATCAATATAGTTATAACTTCCATTAAGCTTCCATTACACTTTATACCTTTTGATTTAGTTCCTTCCAAGTAGTCCTCACATATATTGTATGAGTCTGGACAGACATAGATGTAAACTGCAGATTGACTGGCAGAGGCATACAACGCAGGGAGGTAATTCTAGTTAATACAAAATCAGAGTCAGCGTTTTCTCCAAATTAGTCTCTTTCTTATTCAGATCTTCTCCAAGCTTTATGCTGCTGGTTTTACTGCACTGTGTCCAGATCTCCAGTAGAGAGCAGCATCTCAGCACTGCATCCACGGCTGCTGCTTCTGGCACCACACACGCAAACAAACACACATACAGTGACAGTTTGTTTGCATGACAGAGAGCAGAAAGTTAGATGGTAGGTGGGTGGTTTGATTGTGAGGTTCAATTTGATTTAAACTTTATTGTCAAAGTTATCAGAGCTCATACACTATCCACCCACTCAGCACTTCCTGCTAGGAGATGATGACCAACGTATTTCCTCTATTAAATGTCACCAGTGTGTGTGTGTGTGTTTGTGTGCATGTATTTTCACGTGTTTGTGTGCATATTCATTCATTTGAGGATCTATACTGATTGGAAAGACTCCTAAACTTTTTCTGACTCGCATCCTTTTTTCCATCTGGTCTCTGCTCCTCCCTGACCAGCTGTCCATCCATCCATTAGTCTGTCTCTGTCTCTTCTTGCAGGTCCACGCCCATTCTGTTCTGTCATGTGGCCGGTGTTTTGACGAAGAACAGGTGCTGTTTCCTTTCCTTAGCCACGCCCTGTCCTGTCTGTGGGCTGACCAGGGGGTGAGGGCCGCGGCGGCCCGGGGATACGAATACGAGCTCAATGACTCTGCGCTGTAGTGAGTACTCTTCCAGCACACACTCACGCTGTGCCGAGGAGATGCAGGGGTCTAATTAGCTGGACTTAGCAGCTGATGCTCAGCCGTGTGCTCGCTGTCACTGGGAATCAGAGTCTGGATTGTGGGAAGGAAAGAGAAAGGTAGACAAACCCAAGTAAACTGTAATTTTATTTACCTCCACGACTCTTATATACATCCAAATTACAACCTTAAAAAACAAACATGGTATTGTTCTGTATTGGGTTTGGCTGTGTGCATACAAGGTATAAATAAATGTGAGAATGTTTAAATATAATGTTTAAAACTAAAACCGCCAAAGGGTCAAATTTACCTGCAGCTGTTATTCAATTGTGTGTAACTTTGTTTGAATAAAATATTAAGGTCCCCCAGTCTTTGACTTTTCCTAAAACTGCGTAATATAGCAAATGTCTACATATAGTCAAATTTAAATAATGGGCATTTATACCTTTAAGCACCAGGAAAATTTTAAATTATTTTCGCACTATTAATTTCATGCATTTAGATAATCATTCTTCATGTTGCTAATGGCAATGCCTTCTGTCTACTGCCATGAGTGATGAAGCTGCATCTGTTGAGAGTTTCTGATGGTCAGTTTCCTCTTGGATCTATTATATTCTCTCAACTATATACTTTAAATACTGAATGTGATATTATAGCAGTACTATACTACTATAAAGTAGTGTCACCTTCATGATCAAAGAAAGTAGAAACGTAATCGCAGAGAAGTGAGAGGATCATAGACACGCAGTTGGTTGTAGTATTCCTAAAACATTTATAGAATATTTCTATGATCATTCAGTAGCATCTGCACCCAGACTAAGGCCACTCTTTAACAAAATATTTTAGGGGAGCCAAACTACAGATAGAGTTTTTACTATAGGTATTTGGTGTAACCTGGGAGTGTGACATGTAATAGCCACACTGCGGTCAGGTGCTACAATTAATGTGATTGTGTGACAGACAAAACTATAGTGTGTTTTGAAAACTGAGACTTATTAAAATGCCGGTGTTGTTGGGGCAGTAGGTTGCTCCCATTGGCCAAAGCACAGACTGCTTGTACATTAAAAATCAATGCATTTTAATAGCAGGTAAATTTTACCCGTTGGCGGTTTTAGGTATACAGCCACCCCTGGCGGGTTCTGGTGTTAAATATGTGCATATTTAAGAAGAAGTCAAACGTGTGCAGGCACCATAATGAAAGTAAAGAAGTAAGGATGAAGACTGGAAATAAGAAACAAGTAAAGAGGGGATGCTGTGTGTGTGATGCAGAAGTAAGACGGAGCTGGGACCCACCAGGAGGCCGTCTGTTCTCATCCTCTACCCCAGCGAGAGGCCTCAGCTCTGGGGTTATCTACACCGACAGGCCCACTGGTTCCCACTGAGAGCCACCATACATCACCCTCCGCTTTCCTCAGCACACACACACGCACGCACGCACACGCACACACGCACACACGCACACACTTGTACTTCTAGACTTGTGAGGACCCTCATTGACATAATGAATTTTCCAGACTCTTAACCTGAAAAAAAAGGGAAATGTTTTGTAGTTCGACAATTATTCTCATCAGTAATAATAATGGTAAAAACCTGTTGATCGTCTCAACAGTTTTTGCCCATTAAGCTTTTTCTATTGTATTTATTTATACATCCAACAGTTACAAAGCCACAACACCATTATTCATTTGAGGGCTTGTTTCTGGCCAACAAATATAAGTCCAATATTCACAACTTGCTGTTTTGAGGGAAATATTTGACTCTTTAGCCACTAAATGCTCCACTGTGTTCACCAGCTAGTCTCTAACTTTGTCTGCTGTTTGGTACTGAGCAGGTAGCGTGCAGTGGGTTTATCACGAGTGATCCCTTTCACATTGTCACTACAGAGTGGGTATAGTTTCCCTCAGCTCTTAGGAGCATTTTAGTGTCTTTCAGCACATTGTTTTGGTTTTACAGTGCAGCAGGCAGCAGTTTTCAGTTGTCTCTGTTAAATCCACTCTATATTACTTGCTCAGTACCAAGCAGCAGACAGACACAGGTAGCCACTGGTAAACACAGTGGAGCATTTAGCAACTAAAGAGCATAATATTTTCCCTTGGAAGTTGGTAGAGGCCAAAATAGACCAAAAAAGAGCATGAATATTTGACTTATAGTCCTCAGGTGGCGGTGGCGGTGATTGGGTCACTGTTCAGTTTACAGTTTGTTCTGTTGCCCACAAGTGCCTAAAAATAATTTAGAACAGAATTTAGGGACTGGTCAAAATGTACTCACTTGAACAATGACCGCTCTCTCTAAACCTCAGAATGGTCCTCACAAAGACAGAAGCACAAACAGACACTCGCAGGCAGTGTGTTTTTTCAAGCAGCAGGATGTGTGTAGCCGTTCAAGAAACTGATTCAGGTTGACTAGTTGAGAATGTCACAGTCAGTTCAGGTAGCTGGAGACGTCACTGTGTGTGTGTGTGTGTGTGTGTGTGTGTGTGTGTTTGAAAAAAATCCCATCTCAGTGAGCGCGTGCACACACGATACAGTTGATTACACTAGCTGTATTAATAGCTAATCTGTGCTTGAAAGCCTAGCCTCAGTGTGTTATTATGGTAAACCACAGTGTGAATATTCATCGTGATGAGCTGCTACGCCCCCTGGGGCTCCAGCCTTATCACTGCGCACCCTACACGCCGTCTGGCAGCTGACACGGCCACGACACACACACGCACACACAATGTACGAGTCAACACACCCGCAACTGATACCTGATTTTATTCTCTTTTGATCTCATATTTGTCTGCAGCTTATTAAATTTTCCTTCCTCTCTCTTTCTTTCCCCCCTCGTTTCTCCTCTTCCACCTTTTTGCACCTTTCTTACTCTCTTTCCCTCCTCTTCCTCATTTTGTAGTTTCTTTGAGAACATGGCCCGCATCACTTCTCCAGATTATGTGCCCAGTGAGACGGATGTTCTGCGAGTACGACTGAGGACGACGGGCGTGATCGAGACCCAGTTCAAAGTCAGCCACCTCATTTTCAGGTAGACACCTTTTACTTGGCTTTTTATTAAGATGTAATACTGCGGGG